TGGAGGAGGATGACCTCGGTCCTCGGCCTCCCGAGGTGGTGGGAGCTCGCGCTGCCCTCGGACCAGTGAGGCCCGCCGTCGCGCTCAAGGGGGGGGGCGATGGCGCGAGGGGTGGTCAGCCCCTCTCAGGCCAGGGGGGACAGGTTCAGGGGGGGGATGCATCGACCCCTTGGGGAGGGCAGGCTCGAGGTTTTCGGTTCCAGGTTCTAGTTTTCGGGCGTTTCCGTTGGTCCTCGGCATTTTTCCAGCTGCTGCGCCTCGCCGAGGGCGTTCCAGAGGTGCCGGATTCGCCCCGAACGGCTACTTGGGAGTCGAGTTATGGCCCGAAAACCACGGGGCGACGTCAGGGCGGGATAGGCATAGGGGGGATGCATCGACCCCCAATCATCCCTCGATCGCCGATAGGGGCCCGACAGCCTCACCCAGCCCAGGTGCGTGGGGATTTGCTATCGGGGGCCTGTCGCCGATCAATTGGCGACGTATCGCCGATTCCAGGTCGATGTTTTCTCCCCTGAGCTGGTCCCCGGGGTTTTCGGCGCATAGCGCGGCTCTCTGGCAGCCGTTCGGGGGCGATCTGGGCATGCCCGGAGCGCTCTCGGCGAGGCGCAGCCGCTGGAACGCCTCCCGAGGCTGGAAGGCCGCCGAGAATCGACGAGAGCGTCCGCAAGCCTCAAACTTCGAGCGTCGAGACTCGTCCCTCGAACCCTGTCGTTTTTCCCTCCTTGACGCTGCCCCCCCCAAATGTAGGAGTGCTGGCTTTCCGCAGGCTTCCGCGCGTGGGCGCCCGAGGGGCGGAGCGCCCCCGGTGGTCGCCGAAGGCCCGAAGGCCGATCGACCCGCGTTGGGGTCCGAGTCCAGCCGTCAGCGCCAGCGTCGTCACGGCACGAAAACCCGCCCGAGCAGGGCCGCGCCCCCCTCGGCCCGTCGTCGGGAGGAGGAGGCGGAGGAGGAGGCGGAGGAGGAGGCGGAGGAGGAGGAGGCGGAGGAGGAGGAGGAGGGAGGAGGAGGGAAGGAGGGGTGGGGGGGGGGGGTGGGGGGGGAGGAGGAGGAGGAGGAGGAGGAGGAGGGAGGGAGGGGAGGAGGAGGAAGGAGGAGGAGGGAGGAGGAGAGGAGGAGGGGAGGAGGAGGAGTGAGAGGAGGAGGAGGAGTAGGGGGAGGGAAAGGGAGGAGGTAGTGAGAGGGAGGAGAGGAGGAGGGGTGGAAAGGGGAGAGAGGAGGAGGAGGGAATGGGGCGGAAGGGGGAGGAGGAGGGGTGGAGTGTGGAAGGAGGAGAGGGGAGGGGGAGGAGGAGGAGGAGGGACAGGAGGAGGAAAGAGGAGGAGGGAGGGAAGGAGGAAGGGGGAGGAGAGGAGGAGGAGAAGGAGGAGGAGAGGAGGAGGGGAGGAGGAATGAGAGGGGAGGGAGGAGCGGCGGAGGAGGAGGAGGAGAGGAGGAGGGAGGAGGAGGAGGTAGGAGGAGGAGGAGGAGAGGAGGAGGGAGAGGATGAGGAGGAGGAGGAGGAAGAGGAGGAGGAGGAGGGCCGAGCCAGGCTCTCGCTGTACGCGGAGGCGGAGGTGGCGGCGGGCTCCCCCGCCGGCGATCCCCTGCGGCTGCCTGCGGAGGCCGCTGGCGGGGGGGCGCGAGAAGGGTTCCCTCCAGGCTCCCTCTTCCTCATCTCTATTCTTTCTCCGCCGTCTCCCGCCCTGCCTTTCTGGGACGCCCGCTCCCAGCTGTATGGGACGCCCGCTCCGAGCTTCGACAGGTGCGTGCGCACATGCGCACCGTCCACTTGAGCTATGAGGCAGGAGACAGACAGCATGGGCGCGTGCCGCTGACCCCCGTACGGGCCTCATTTTAGGCTTCACGTGCTGACATTGCACACCCGCTGCCCTTTGCATCATAGGTTATCGACGAGGCGGCGGCCCCCGCATGGAGCCCCATGTGAGGTCCAGGAGGTTAAGTCTGGACGTCCACTTGACGTCCACTTGAGGTCCACTTCGGGTCCACTTGAGGTCCAGGGGAGGTCGACTGGAGGTTGGAGCCTCGCCTCAGTCCAGCCTAAGGCGCTCTGCTGACTCTTGTATGAAGCCTCGCCTAAAGCTCAGGGAGGCGAACCAGCCTGTGACCGTCGTCACCCGCTTCACCCTCTGGAAAGGTCATACCATGGAAGGTCTGTCCGACCTGCGGTCCAAAGGAGTCACTTCGCACGCCCGTCGCCCTCCTCATCGCAACGCCGGCCCCCGTAGGGCGCCATCTCGAATGCCGTGTATTTTCGTCAGACGCCCCATTCTACGGAAATAGGAACGCTTCGGCGCGACGCGCTACTCACGTCCTGGTTCCCGAGCGTCGACGTCCCGAGCCTCTCCCGGCATCCCGCCCCGCGGAGCGGAGCGAAACACTATCCGCTTGCACGGCGTAGGGCGTAGCGTGTCGCCGGGGCCGCTGCCGCGACACGCTAAGCAAAAGTTCTGGATCGTAGTGCGTGTGCTCTGGTGCGTATTCCGGGCCCACATGGGCACTGTGCGCGATCCTGCTGCCGGCGAGGGGATTTGGTGGCTGGCTGGGGCCATTCTGCCGAAGGGAAGCGGGCCAGGCCACGCTGGACCTCGAGACTGTTTCCGCCTCGCTGGAGGTGCTCGCGATGATGAGCAGGCCAGCCCACGCCCCAGCAGAGGGGCACTGGCGTGTGTGTGTGTGTGTGTGTGTGTGTGTGTGTGTGTGTGTGTGTGTGTTAGAAGTATGACGGGGCCATGCGCTTTTGCTCTTCAATGGATTGGGGTTGGGCGTTTTCGGCCCTCTAACGTCATCGCTCTTCCCTTCCTTCTGTCTTTCCTTCCTCCTTCTTCTTATTCTCTTCCTCCTCATCCTCCCCCTTCCCCCGTCTTACTCCTCTGCTGCTTGGGGCCTGATCTCTCAAAACCGGGGGTTCCAATCCGAGTTCTCTGTGGGAGATTTATATGTTGATTCTGGCGTTGGTGGGCTACAAGCTGTTTCATCTTATGGGGGATACACATGCCGATCCCAAGTGCGGCGGGCTTCATATATCTGCATCTATGTATATAAACACATGTACATATATATGCTTACATTTGTATATATGATGTATATCTACATATGTGTATATGAAATATGCACAAATCGTATGCATGGACATTCCTTTTTTTGTCAGGGGGGTACGCATTGTTTCCTTGTGTGGCAGGGGAAGGGGGAGGGTCTGGCCCTGGGGGAGATGTTCCAGGACCAAAGAACTAGTGGATCCACTGTACCCATCGTGTTTTCTCCCCGGGCCAGACACATTCAAGGGCTCAGTGGATCCATTAGTTCCCAACAATCCTGCGGTGTTGGGTCCTCGTTTTGAAGAGATAGCGTCCTGCGTCCCCACTTCTTCCGCTGCCCCCTCCTCCCCCCTTCCTCCTCCTTCTCCTCCTCCTCCTCCTCTTCCTCTTCCTCCTCCTCCTCCTCATCCTCCTCCTCCCATCCCATCCCTGCCTTTGCCCTCCGCGCGTCGCTGTTTCGGCACTCCCCTCACACGTTTCGTGGCCCCACAGGGAGCTCCACTGAAGGCCCCCGTGGCAGCGCCCGCATGCGGTCCCCCTCCATTTTGGTGCACACCTCACGCGTTTCATGGCTCCATCGGGACCTTCCTTCGAATGCCCCAGTGGCAGCGCCCGCGTGTGCTTCCACCTCCATTTCGGTGCGTGCACCCTCACACGTTTCGCGGCCCAATGGGGAGCTCCACCGATGGCCTTAGTGGCAGCGCCCGCATGCGGTTCCACCCGCCATTTCGGCACACCCCTCGCACGTCTCGTGGCCCCATAGGGAGCTCCACCGAAGGCCCCAGTGACACCGCCCGTATGCAGTTCCACCCTCATGTCGGTGCACCCCTCACACGTTTCGTGGCCCCATGGGGAGCTCCACGGACGGCCCCAGAGGCAGCGCCCGCATGCGGTTCCACCCTTCATTTCGGCACACCCCTTTCACGTTTCGTTGCCACATAGGGAGCTCCACCGAAGGCCCCAGTGGCATCGCCCGCATGTTGTTCCACCCTCCATGTCGGTGTACCCCTCACACGCTGCGTTGCCCCATATGGAGCTCCACCTCAGGCCCCACTGGCAGCGCCTTCACGGGTTTCCACCTTCCGTTTTGGCGACCTCCTCACACGTTCCGTGGCTCCCAGGCCTATGCCATAGGGAGCTCCACCTAAGGCTCCAGTGGC